TCTGGAGACGTACTGTTTTCACAATTGCGTCTGACAGCGTCTCTACTATGTAGCTTGTAACAGAATTACTTTTTATTTAAATATCTCGCCCAAGGAATCCTTTCGCGTTTTTGTTCGTCAATTCTTGGGCGAAAATCCCCCTTCCTGTTGGTGCTTATTTGCGGTTGGAAGCTTTTTTACCATATTTTCAAATTCCTCGAAACTTTATGCGATAGATGAGGTGGGGCTTCAGGTCCAGCAGAAAATTCACTCGTTGGGACGCCTATGAACATGCAGTTCTTGGGAATTGATCATATATTCGATTCTCAACTGTGGCTCTGGGTGGTCCACGATGTTTTCGTCGGGAGAGGGGACGAGCCATTAGCGTCTTAAGGTTGAAGGGTAATCAAGAGCTTGAAATTCTGTGGACATCTTGTGGTATGCTCGATCTAAAGCCCCCGAGAAAACACACGGCTAAAATAACAGCCTATTCTTGATCCTACGTTCCAGAGCGTTTGTTCAGTCGTCTACAGTTTCGCACCGAAATGGATTTCCGCCCCAGGCCGATAGAATTGTTGGTTTTGGTGTTCAGTCCAGCCTTGGTAGTGCCCGTCCGACCTGTACCCCGTTGCTGCTGTCTGCTATGGGGTAGAGACTAGTACATGGATGATGCATTGAGATGGGCTTCTAACTTCTTTCATCCACCATGTCCGTTCCAACCTCCGGTCGTTTATCTTGCTGTCTGATTATAGTAGGCGCAAGAAGAGGGCGTCGTGAATACTATAAACGGCCCCCTTGGCCCGGAAATTGTCAGCTTGATGGATAATTCTGTCCCTAGGAATGAATGTCAGGCTCCAACCGATCCTTTCTGTGGCCCCAAGAACACCCTCACTTATGTGAGACCAAAGACCCTCGTTAAATGTGGCCTGATACATTAGGAGCTGTCTGATTTCGTCCGCCCAAAATTACCTCCTGCCACTATGACTTGTCTTGCCATCGGAAGGCGCTGGGCGAATTAAGTAGGCAGAGTGAATTAGGTGCGTCGACGATTCGCTTTACTATAAATATGTTCACGTTCGAGTCAGCCCCAGTAGGTCAACCTCATGGGGTAGTGGTGGACGACTTGACTGGCATTGATTGAAATGTGAACAATCACAGCTGCTCCAGCTCAATCCCCGTCGCTTGTGACGGACTTCGTGGACGTATCAGGTGAACATTGGATGCCTTTGACCATCATTGGTCGAGAATGCTCCCTCTTGAGGGCTGCCTCTGTCCCAGATGATGCAGTTCGCACTTTTGTGAAAAATAGCGGAGACTTCTCAACCCATTCCAGGTAGACGACTGACGTGAGTCATGCAACTTGCCCATCAATGTCTTTGGGGCACAATAGGCTGTCCCGAATGGAACGCCCGTCATATCCGCCGCCGCAGACCCCTGCACGTGAGAAGACATCCTACAGTGAGTTATAGTGGGCGACTACATCGTTTATGCTAGCAGCTGTATCATGAATGTGGGTCTACCTTTTCCTGGGATGGTCCTTATCCCTCCCCTGAATTGGATGTGCTGATTCGCCGATGACCGAGAAACACTTCGACAGTTGCCACTCTCATCCATCTGACCTCTGCCTTTTGTTGCCGTATTTCCGTTCAGGTTACGTGTCAAGATGCTCCTTTGCCTAACCCTCTGTTACCTATTTTGCATCAACCTCTTTCTGCTAGAAGCATAAAAATTGGCCCTTATTTGTCTCTTCCAAAGTACATTTTCGGCACAAGACTAGGGCGAATACCCTCTGGCTGAGAAATGCTTACTAACTTAACCTGTAATAATATTTAAAAAAAAACTTACGTTGCAAACGCCCCATGCGACAGCGCATACTTCATCAAGAGGACTTGTGCCGATTTTGGCCTGGCAGTGAATACCTTAAGGTCAATACAGGATAAATTTAGCATTTGCATGCTTTGCTGCTTAGATAGGTCGCAGGACGTTGCGTGGGTGTTAGGGTGGGGAGTTAAAACCTTTTCTCAGCGCTTGTAACAGCAGGCTATGATCGCTTTCAAATAAATTTAGGGATCTACAAGCGTTCAATTCATAACTGATACTTTCAACGTAAAGCGTCTTCTTCTCCTTCTCAATTCCAAAGAATCGGTAATTTTGTGGACAGAGTTGGTTGAGAGTCTTTTACCTCCAGAACTTGTTTTGCAGATTTTGGTTGGTCAAGGCGCGTCTCTGTTTTCGCAAGGCTCTAAATATCCACTGTGACGATGCACGTAAAACTCTTGACTTTGCTTCCAAATATGGCCAAGTAAATGACATTTATGACTGTGCTTATTAATGAAAAAGTCATACACTTTACGGGTGAAAAGAAGGCAATTCGCTCTCGAACAGTTGTGAAACAAATCCTTTGATTGAATCAGTTTACTGGGTTGTTAGAAAAGCCCTCCACGCAACTCCACTCAGTACACACAGGTATGGTTTGTGCCCACCTGTTTTTAATACGGATCCGCAACAGTGCATTTTGTCATTTATTCGTAGTCCTCGTGAGGAAATGAACACTTTTTAAGTTGGTGGATTTTCTGATGACTTTGTCTCATATTTCCGTGGCACACTAATGTTCTTGTTTCACAAAGATGTAGAATCGGAAATACTATTTCATTTGCTTTTTGAAGTCCCCGGTTGACTTCCACCTGTGGTGGTATTGCGTTCGGCCGATTCTTGTTCACCTAGCTGTAGTTAAATGAAGAGCCTCGTCCCATTTATGCATGAATGTCTCTCAGACCTTGCAATTCGAGTAACTCGTCTCTTAAGTCCTTTTTAAGTTTTCGTTCATTTTTTATGCTATGTGAATTCGATTAAATTTCCCGAAAATGACGCAAAAACTAATATTGCACTCATTTTTCAGTAAATTACGTCCTTATCGCATTTTCACCTTGAAGGAGGATTTTTCTGATTTTCTAAATATTTGCAGCTACATGACATTTTGGTGCACTTGCTGCTCACTAAGGAAGCAACATTTTCCCTAGCTATTCCAATATATTATGACATTAGAACCCATTTTACAGAAAGTGTTGTGTTAGTTAGAAATCTTTAGAGCCTTGAACGCGGGTTGTGCTTCAAAGTGCGCAGGAAAGTCGAAAAAATTGAACATCTCGGCCTTATTGCCCTTTTCTGAACCGCGCTTGATGATAACACAGTTTTATAAAAATGAGTATGATGTGATTAGTTATCCGTCTTCTCTACGAAATAAAATTGAATGTGAGCAAACATTGAAATCACGTAAAAGTATATTACTTATTTTCTCCGAATAAAGACACGCATACTTGAAAGATGACTCATCGAAGAGCTAACATAATGTCGTAATTTAATTTACTTGGGACCGTATCACATGTGCCTATTAGAGAGGAGCAACTGTTTTAGGTTAATTGCAAACTCAGAGTGATGTTCGCTAGACCTTCGGTTGTTCTGCCGTCCGGTTTTACATTTGGCTTTGTTTGTCAGTTGCGTTCTATAAAGCTCTGGGCGATGCTCGTTAGAAGTGGTCATTCACTGGGGGTGGTGGAAAATTGACCACTACCGCACAATCTGCATCCTTGCTGGGGCTCGCACGCAGCTGCGTTTGCGGCCTAACGTATGACTACTGTGGTAGTCTAGGTCTAGGCTCGTATTGATTGTCGGCATGCACAGTGTTCTTTTGAGGCTCCTATTAAGCGTTAGATGAGCCAGGACGTCCAGAAATGATAACTGTTAGCCACGCCCTGCCGTCTTTTATAAACGGAATGTCAGAGTAAATGAAATCCAGCAACTCATGGAATTCATAGTCTAATTCTCGCCTGAGAACGACGAAGGAGTCGACACACCATGCTCAAAATGTTGGCCTGCGAATTGCGAGAACTGACGTCTCTCGTTTTGGAAGGACGACCTAAATGATGAAACCAGTGGACGGCACTCCCACCGGAGTCCCCCGAGGTTCGTACGTTCCCTTCAGCTGTCCGATTCATCTTAATGCAGATTTTTAGAGGCCGAATAGGGTGTCTCATTTCGGTGTCATGATCATGTTGTTGTGTGCTACCACCTGCGTAGGTTGTTGAATGTTTAAATTGGCATGTTGTTTGGGATGGAGGTGAGGGGTGGAACCACATAATTTGATGGCATGGATCCGTCTGTGTTGAACTGAAATTCGAGTTTGCTCAAAACTATTTTACGGAGAAGGTCTTTGTAAGGAAGTCTCAGGTGACGAATTCCAGGTGTTCAAGTAACTGTTTAGTCAGATTTGATGCGGATGTTCTGTGCAAAGACATGAGGGATCAGGGTGACCACCGACCAGGTGTACTTTAACCAGTTCGCAGAATCTTGCCATAGCCGCAACTGCTCACTGGTCCGGTTGAATATTCAGCCAAAAGTAAACTGGGGTACAATCGGAAGCGCACCCGTTGAAGGGACTCCCTACTTTTTTAGCAAGTCCCACAAGTGAAGCTGAATCAGTGGAACTGCAAACGGGAGGGAGGCAAAACCAGGCCGAAAAGAAGACATTCTGACTTGAATATAGGTCGCGCTTGAACGCCGATGACGGAGGTCTTCTGTCATCTATGGACGGAGACGCTGAGGCTAGCGTAACGGCCACTGACAGTGCAAGTGTAGGCGGGCGCGAACGAGAAACCAGGATGATATGAGAAGGACTAGAACAAGAATTGCGATGATAGAGACGAGCTTATGATCGTCGTTACTAGAACGCAACCCCCAATGATAGACACGTAAAGCACGTGCCATCACGACAACGACCACTTTTCGCCTTCCCTCCTCCCACCCAGAGTGCAGTCCGCACGGACAGTCATGAAGACAGCGGCATGTGAATATGAGCCACACCCTTTAACTACTGGAGGGCGTGACAGTAAAGTCAAGTCTGGCCAAAGAGGCTTGTCTGTCTTGGGAACTTAGGGACAAGTAGCCTATGATTATTATCATGGCCTTTTCCCCATGTGACCTAGGAGATGCGTTTAAGATTAGAATTGCGTTCACTGATCGGATTACGGAGGACGCTCGTCTCGTTGTGCCCTAGGGTTCGCTCCAAAGCCCACGATGGCAGTCGCGTAGTGACCATTAAGATATGCTAGAAGGAGTACCAGCAAAGGCAAGCGAGACTAGAATGGCCATTTCCGGCTTAGCAGCCGTCTTCCGCCAGCTCCACCTAACCCCCGATGTAATGACGCCTAGTCATTGAGTCTAATGTTCTGCCTTTGAGCCGCGGGCCCGTTATCCTGTCGGTTATGTCGGGAGTATTAACCACGTTGGAATTCCATAATGGAACGAACATTTCATGCAGCCCGATTGGTGAACGCCTTTCCGCCATGCTTAATATACCCGATCGCTGCTGGCACGGCAACGGGTCCGTGGCTCAATAGTGGAGCGTTCAACTCAATGATTAAAGATCTTGGGTTCGAATCCAAGGTGTCCCAAAAGTCGGGCTAAATAGTTGACTGAGGACGACAAAGAAGCCAGAAATGTTCATTCCGATGTCCCATCGTCGCACTTTTCCATATCTATATGTGATGAAGGTACTATACCGTACTCCCGATATAGGTACAAGCTAAAAGCCCAAAAACGTATTTCGTCGATATTCTGCGCTGTGGGACACAGTTGCGAGAGGTTCGGCTTTTCAGTGGAACCTACCGTGGCCCTGTGCCCACCTCACCCTCATCACGGGCTAATCGTCTGTCTGCTAATGTCTCTCCTGTCTCGCCAACTGGTCAAGGGTGACAGTCCTATTTTCTCCTTTGTCTTCATTTCGTTTGACGACGGGTTGGTTCACCAACTTGAAAATTCACGAGTACAACTCGATTTCTTCCGAAGAACCTATTCTATCTCCACATGCACATCTATAAATGCGCGTCCCCGGGGATAAATAAGAAGAGACGATCATGTGAACAATAGGTTGAATGACCTGATGTTTCAAAAACAGACAAGCTTCCATCGTCGGAGGTAGGTTCTGTACGGCGCCTCGCAGTATTTATGGGTGCGGAGCATGCCGGCGTGCTGCCATTCCTACGGCTTTCCGTGTAGGATATACTGCATGGGGGAGGATTTAATCGCTGTCATGCTGGTCGGTGTCTTTCTCCCTCTTCTCGTCGGGGAGCAGGAATAGCAGTAGAAATGACAGCATGTCGGCATGCCCAGCATCCATGAATACTGTACAGAACCTACCTCCGACGATGGAAGCTTGTCTGCTTTTGAAACGTTAGGCCATTAAATCTATGGCCCCCTTGTCGCCTCTTTTTCGCATCTATACATATATATAGGCAGAATGTTACTACTGACGAAGACCAGGGAGACTGGAATGGCCATTTCTGGCTTACTGGCCGTCGTCAGACAGTTATACCCAACCCCGAAGTGTGGAGCACCTAGGGCTAAAACTCGCGGTCTATTAGGTATAAGTTCAACATCTCTAACCGATCGTTCTTACAGAAATCACTCGTTCCGTTGTGAGCGCCCCTACCATTGTATATTCCCCATCGAAAACCGACAGGGCAACGGCATCGTGCATGCTCTGTAACCTGATCGGTGAGCGCCCATCTGTCATAATTGATATTCCCGATCACAACCGACAGGACAACGGGCCCGTGGCTCAATGGTAGAGCGTCAAACTCCATGACCAAAGATTCCGGGTTCGAATCTCAAGTGATCCACACTTGGGGTTGGGCATGACTGGCTGATGACGGCTACTAAGCCAGAAAAGGCCATTCCGGTCTCCCTTGTCTTTGCCGGTATCACCTTATCATATATATATATAGGCAGAATTTTACTATTAACAAAGACAAGGGAGACTGGAATGGCCATTTCTGGCTTATTGGCCGTCGTAATACAGTCATACCCAACGCCGAAGTGTGGAGCACCTAGGGCTCGAACTCGTAGCCTATTAGGTATAAGTTCGACATCTCTAACCACTGAACCAAGGGCAGGTAGTTCCGTCGGTTTCGATCGGGAATACGCAATGGTGGCGGAGCACCCGCCGATCGTTTTTACGGAACTCACTCGTTCCGTTGTGCCTTACGGGCTCTCTCTCGAGTCCAACCAGCAGCCGCACAGCGACGCATGTTATGAGCAGTATGTATCTCGTTCCCACATATATGTAGAGGCTCGATGAGAATTTATCGAAAACACGCGTATGCTCGTCAAATGCTCTTGTGAAATAGCATTCTTCCAATAAGAACTAAGCCTGCAAATGTGGGACGCATAAAATAGACGCAAGGCCATACTATAGAACGAAGGAAAATTTTTAATGAGACCTACATAAACTCATCATGCCGTTGCGACAAATGACGCACGTGTCGTGCATAACATCCCATGACCAGAAGGCACAAGCATTCCATTTTGTCAGCTGGAAATGCTGTACATCGGCCCTCTCCTTTGACTGTGGCGGCTGCTGTTCAATTTGGGCCTCTCGAGAGACGATGATGGTCGGATCATCGGCCTCCGAAGGGTTTGTGCCATCGGGTGCGGGTGGTGTCGTCTCGGCAGTAGTTCTGGCGACGTCCTCATCCACGCCTTGAGGGCTCTGACCGGCGGGAACTCCGGGTGAGGAGGATCTCTGAGTTTTCCTACGCCACAGCATTCATTAGTCGTGAACGATGTACCTAAACTAGCGCACACGTTCGTTATCCCTATTTGACCAATCAACGCCGGACTAAAAAATTGATCTTTCTGGCATGCCGTTTTTAAAGACTGAGTGCAAATGGGTTAGACAAGGCAAGGGGCGTGGGGGCCGTACTTCTGCTTCGAAACCTTCAACACCTTCTTGACTTGTATTTTGCTGTGAAGAATGCATATGCGGGCGAACAGCCACTGGGTGTAGATAGAGTCAAAAATTTTGCGTTTTACTATAAAAAAGAGTATTGCATCTAGAAGACGGAATTTCGCATACCTGGGCCTAATCAATCCAAAGTCAATGTGCACTTTAGACACAAAGCATGTAAAGTAGAAAGCGAAATTGTAATGCTAACTTAAGGAGGGGGCATGAGAAAGGTGATTTTGGTAGGAGTACCGTCTATCGTCAGCCAGGGGTTGTGGGCCATCATACTAAGGTAAACGTTCTGCAGGTCACGTGTTAAAAATTAAAATTTGCCCGCCGTCTGCGTAGGCAGATGCTAGTACTTACTGCTCGAAGTCTTGTTACACTCCTCAAAAGCATCAGAGTCTGAGGGAAAGCGTGACAACACAGTGAAACACTGACTGAATTATCCACCTTTCCCGAACTATAGGTAATGATCATGGGGCATTTTCAGATTACTCCATGCAGCACAGATTGCCAATTTTTCCTTTTTATGTTTTTCCGGCTTCATGACGATCACAGATAGAAAACTCACTTTAGTGTTAAGTAGGTTTTTATTAGTTTTGAATGATTTATGCGAAAAATCACCCCTCCTCTATCAGAATTTAAAAATACCATCGCGTGTACAGGCCTCTCGGACTTAGCGCATGCAGGCTGAACAACTTTGGGCAGTTAAACAATTGAGCAAATTATGCTTATTATGTTCCCGCCGCATTTATTCAGTTCTCCAACCTCATGAGGCATTCAAATAGCCCGTGAGTAAACAACTTTTTTCGGTCAGATAGCTGAAACATTTGAGACTGTTTTGCTTGTAAGTTGTTTCGGTATGTTTTCAAAACAGGAGTTTTATGATTCGTTAGAGTCCGCAGGGGAACAGAAGCCTACAAATACGTGATTAATATAGCTTTAACATTCTATTGACAAAACTAAGCCCGTCGGAAGTAATGATATCGCCCACAAAATACCGTGCAAGAGTCTTCATGCAGTCAACTATGGCCAAACCTGGAATATTGACTATCCCTCTTCCCCCCTCCCCACCAGTACTCACATAGACCGACCAACTGTAAGAAGACGAAACCGTCTATCGTTAATGACGCGAAACACACAGTTTCCTGGGGGAGTAAAACTTGCTTAGTTGGCACCTGTCCACCACATAAATGCCGTGGATCTCAAAAGGCAGTCTTCTCAAGTGGGGCATGCTTCAGTAGGCACGCCAATGCGGACGCCATATATAAAACTCGCAGGCACACGTAGATGAGAATGCAACCAATCCGGGCTGTGTAGCGGAATACAGTGGACGCACATTGGAGCAAAATTTTACCAGCCCCAAAATCTATTCTTAAGCACAGTAAAGACCGGCCCTTGATGTTCTTCAACTGCACGTATGGCGAAGAGCTGGGAAACCAATCTCGGATATTTACGTTGACAGCGTTTTTGCTGCCAAGGTGTTTGACCTTCTTCTGATTGCTTATACATACGGCAGATGACGTAGCTCAGAAAATGTTGCGTAGCTCCAAAAAATACTTTTAGTACCTCCGAAGTGAAGCAAATGCATTGACCAAAGCACTGAATTATTAATGAATGATCTATATTTAAACGAAAACACAAAATAACTATAGAAGATAATCATGCATTGAATAGAAATGACATATTTCTTCAGGAAAGTGGAAATTCCGAAACACCAAAATTCATGTCAGGTAAATAGAATTAATCCGTGGAAGTACAAACTGCATGTCCCCGCAAATAACGAAGTAAATAAAAGAGCATATACATAAAACCCCAAAATAACTCTCTTAATTAATCATCGGGTTAACTATCCTCGAGAAATAATGCGATATACAGTATACCAGCTAATCAACGGCTGCATGTTTTATGATACATGCTAAAACGATGGTCCGTGCATTTTCTGTCCTTGCAGTGCTCATAATAAGGTTGGCTACTACGAAGAGGACTTCGCTGGATTCTACAAACAAGAATGCCCCAGAAATGGGTGTTTTCATATGACTAAATGTCGGGAGGACGATCAGTCAATACGAACTTGGAATACACATAGCAAATGCAATCATATGCATGCCGCTTCTTGTGTCTCAAAAGAATTTTCTTCATCAGATTTACTGTGTGTTCTCTGGCTGCCTTGAAGTCCGTTGGGTTTCAAGGCGTCCTTAAAGTGTTAGCGACTGTTTTGCGGTTTCCATTGTCTACAGTCAATTGCCCGAGTTGTTGGTTTCCATGGTTTTGATTGCAAAACCTCCAACATAGGAGGGACCTTCGAAGTTGCAACTTATATGGTGAGCCCTCGAAAGTATCTTTTTGTGCAGGTGGCGTGGCACCGGTAACTTTCGCGTGAGTTAATTATATTTCGGCAGGCCTACGCAACATCTACCGTATTCTCACCTCCACTGACAGGTTCAAACGCGTCAGACTTATTATAGGGAGGAATGTGTTGAGTTGCCGTATGGGTTGATTACACACACTCTCTCTCACTCACTCCCTCCCTCTTCCCTTTCTCATGCACCAGTCGCCCGCAGACTGATGACCGACACTTCCGTTGTGAAATTGCGAAAAGAACACTAATTAGGATTACTTGTGCTTCGGTGTTCCAGGTATTGAAATGTCAGAATATGCGAGTATTGCCTTTCAATCCGACGGGAAGATTGACTCCAAAACCTCCCCTTTGCATTTACGGACTAAATTAAGTGTGGCCGTATAAGTTGACGCCTGAGTGCCACCTGTATGTGTGTATGCTGTTGTCGGCAGTCGACGCACAACCAGACCCCTGCCATCACCCCATAGTTTTGTGGTCAAAATCCTGGTCATTTGTTGTGTGAACCAGGAGGTGCGGAGTGGAGCGCCAAGGTGAGGATACGTCCAAGCCATCCATCTGCGGCCTCCCTCGTCTCCGGTCTTCTTGACTCTGTCTTGACACCGGGCTCAGGCGGGGGAGAAGGAGAAGTGTGGTAGATGCAGCGCAAGTCTACTGGCACTATAAACCCCTGCGCAAGTCACCGTCCCTGCTTCCACCGCTGCTGCAGCTGTGGGGCAAACGGTGGACATCATCGAAATAGATGGTCGAACTATCGCGCGTGTGTGTGTGTGTGTTTCCATTTGCCGACACCCAACTCTCACATGTGGCTCCACGTATCTGGGCTCTGCTCAGCGGTCACACCCGGGGCAACCGCCTCGACCGGCGGGCTAAACCAGGTGAGGGCGGTTACTCCCGGTACGCGTTGTGCCGCGTGCACAGGGTGTTGCGGACTCCGCTGGATGGATGGTCGGATGGAACTCTGCGTCGCGCGTCGTGACGAGGCCCTGTCTGTTGCACAGCAGGAGAACTCGAGTTTACGACGCAGTCGTAAGCGTTTGGCAAATTCGAGCCGTTCTTCCACTGTCAAACAAACTCGTGGCCCATAATGGATTTCGGTTGCGCCGGCACATCAAGCAGCTCTATTTAGGGACGGGCTCTGCCTCCCTTCGGGGGGGGGTGGCTGGAAAAGCTGGCCTAAAAATTGCTGGGGAACCAAGTAGTCTGCAGGCTGACCGTGGTCGCAGACGTAAAACTCACGGTCGAAACAACCAAAATCGAAACAGCAACAACAGCCATATTCTCCCCCCCCCCACCCTACCTCTTCTTCGTCTTCTTCTGCCTATTCTTCTCCTTCGTCATCTCCTTCTCCACACCATTCCCGTCGCCCCACTCGTCGTCACCAGACTGGCAGGGTGAATCTGCTCACTCTGGCAGCCTGGAATGTTCGTTCCCTTTTAGACAATCCGAGGAGCAACCGACCGCAACGCAGAACAGCGCTAGTGGCCCGGGAACTGGCGCCGTACAAGGTGGACATCGCCGCACTCAGCGAGACTCATATACGCGCATCGGTGAAAGTTTAGCTGTTTACTGCGTTTCGATGCAGAGCATATACACACTCAGAAGCCGTACCCCGCATATTTACTGTGAACTGTAGATGCGTTGGACCAAAACTGGGGGTCAGACTGGCTCATGCCATCCATATAGCGAGCTGTGCTGAGTTCGCGCAAACCCATATCTCTGCAGTGCGTGCCTATCGCGGCCCGCCTTAGAAGTAGATAGAAGAAGTCCGTAACTGCATCCAATCATATCGACAGTTGGTTTACAGGCTCAAACAGTCGACTGATGCATACGAGAGAAGGGAGCAAGGCCGAAACTGAAGGGTTTATCTCACGACCAGACACAATAAGTCTGACGTGCTTGTAGCTATCACGACGTACTAAGAGGCGTGGTTTGTAAGGTCGCTAACTGATGGAATACCTCGGCCCCTCTCAGGGCTGACAATCAGTTCTATCGCCCTCTTCATAACGTTTCCCTTATGACACTCTCAGGCGCGTGAAATCCAAGTTGCCCTTACAGAACTCTGATATGTGTTGTGAGGACAAGTTCGTGTGGGACACACGTAGAGGGATTGCATGGCTTTGCCAACCGATGCGGCCATCTTGACGCTGTTTCTCCATCGGAAACTGGTGAGTGACTGGACATAGAGTGCGGTAGGTGCTGCGCAAGTCGGCCCAGCCGTAATCTAATTCATGTGCAAGTTATCGGTCCTGCACCCGCTTCGTGAGGTACGAAGTGGACGTCCTCGCCCGCAACGCTTAAACTCTCGTGAGAGTCCCAAGTAGCATTTGCGTTCCCAGCGTTTTAGTCTTCAAAGTGCGATTTGCTCTTGGCCCAGTGCTTACGTTCTTCGGAAAATATGTTGAACAGAAGTCAAATTTCAAGTAAACGATTTGAAGAGATTGGCTTTGTTCAAAGCACCTCCAGGAGAAGTAACTGGTGAAATGTGACTGTAGAAAACCTAGCAAAGTTTTTAGGCTGAAAAGGTGTCTGGATATTGCAAACGTACTTAAGTTATTTTTATTTGACAACATATTTGTGATTTTTGTCAAAGTTGCCTGAGTTATGGAGTCTACTATATGTGCTGACTTCTATCAGTGTTGTTCAAACATTCAAAGAGATTTTTGTGTGACCTTCCGAGGAATTCCCAGGCATTCTGCCTTTGGATCTGGAAGAACGTGCCCGTTAATAAAATGCATAGAACCGTGAGAACGGCGTTACGGCAACCACGGCGTTAGATGTTCCTGTTCCACTTGAATCCGTCCTGACTAGTCCATCAGCCTTTTTAATCTTTGGAGAAGTCAAAAGTTATTTGCGGAACTAAGGAGAATCAGTATATCTGGGGTTTCAACACATCGATTCCGTCCTTTCTGAAGGTTTGACTTCGCTTCAGACACGTCGAATTCACGCTTTTGGTATCATGCAATTTCAGGATGGCTATGGGCTAAGTTATCTTTGTTATTCATTCCTGAGTTTATACGTGCTAATAACCTGCCACCCGATCTATAAAGCAAAGGGAAGAATTTCTGACCAGTCACAGCTTCATTTTATCGAAACACGATTTTCAGGCAGATGATTCTGTGAGTTATTGACCTTCGAAGCTTTTTTTACTCTATTAGAATTCGGCCAGATGTAGTTTCAGCGTCATTCAGGAATCATTGTTTGAACCGGCTAACCTTCAAGCTCATCAGCCGGTGCAAGTCGCACTGTGTGTTTGTGCAAGACTTGATCAGACACCATTCTGTCCAGCAGCGACGCTCGCCTGGCCTGACAGTTTTCTGAACCTTTGAGTGACCAGCTCCGCCTTGTCATTTAAATTCGACGTGAAACATCCTACGCATTATATTTCAGTAGAGCGTATTAATTAAACTAAATTGACAGCAAGAGTTGTCCTGTCGGAGTCTACCAACACATTAAACTGTCTGAAGGGCGTTACGTTCACCTGATCGACAGAACGACAGGACAGACTGTGAACACTCTATTTTGATTGAGAGCTTAAGTATGGAGTCTTTAAGGACTGGCTTAACGTGAAGAAAAATCAAAAACTTTTAGCGAAATAAGAGGAGATTTGAATGTCGATCCAGCATATACTTCGTCGTCGCTCAGCCAACCCCCGGCCAGAACGACCTAGGATTTGAACTCCGGTTCAGTTTATTGTGGAGTCGAATCCTCTGGCAGCTAAGTCGTTTCTGCTCGCTAGGTTGGCTGAAATCGGTGAGCCTCAGAATTATCTGGGAATGACAGCGATGATTTGCTCCGATCGAATGACGGAAGATCTGTTTTCACTTTTACCTTGGAGTTCCGTTCTTGTGGACTTGCAGATGGTCACATAGCTAGGAGGAGTTGAGACATTATACCAAGTGTTTAGGGAAAGTGAAGAACTCTCCGAGAATTGGCCAATTCAGGCTTTCATAGCTTTCTTGGTAAAACCTTTCAGATACTATATCTGCTGGAGAGTGGAGGGGATGCCAGACGTATCATCTGAAAAATTGAATTAGCCACATCCTATTTACTCACGTGTGTGGAGTTCTCTCTCTCGCAACTACTTCCACTTCCTCGCCAAAGTGTTCAAATGCGTCTGATTAACTGTTTTATTTTTGCAATTCGCTAACAATTCTCTATCTGCCTGATTGTTTATTTCAACGTCCCCCGCGACGCTAAGAACGCTCGAAGTTTTTTATGATTTGAGGCATATCATTGTATTGTTAACAGTGGCCTTGCCTTCATAACCTTTTTTCCTGTCGACCGTGCTGATGCTTACGCTCGACATCTGTGTGACTGTGTTTGACAGGCTTCGGAAATTTCAAACTGTCCTACGGACAGGCCAGTAGCCAGATCATAAATTGTTATTTCTACTGTAGAACTGCCTGCTTAACAGATTCCGACCATATATCCACGGTATATGACATGATTAACGAGGAATATTTCGGCTCCCTGCTTGATGATGCGACCATACGTCTGACTGTCTCTAAAATCCGTGTCGGTGTATTACTAAAAGGTAGATACTTGGCTGCCCATACCAATCCGAGGAGACACATTTTAGCTTTTCTCATCGGTCTGTGGCGCAGTCTAGGGCCCACCTGCCTGATTTGATCTCTGGAAAGCATTTTGCACAGACTTTAATCACTCCAGCGGATACACTGTGGTCCAGGCAGTGGGAAGACCTGACAACATTCAGTGCACAGGACTTAGATGGAGAGTGTAGTACACGGTTGCAGCATCCAGGGGCTGTAATGGCCTCCTAGCATCCTCGGTTTGGTTAAATGGTTCAGTGTGCAGACCGCCTCGGCGATCTCGCCATACCCATGAGTTGATTTTAACTGAACTCAAAGTCTTACCCAGGGCTAGTGCGATCAGTAGATGAGGCTTGCTTCGAACTGCTTAACTTTGCTGGCATAGTGCAGTGGAGGGCAGCTCAATTGGGGACTCGACCGGTGCCAAATAAGCGGCCACAGGTCTTCGATCACGGCTACCTTACGTACTATTGTTTGTTCAGTAGGTGTGCTTGTGGTATTTTTTTGCCGTCGCGGCAAAAAAAATACCACAAGCACACCTACTGAACAAACAATAGTACGTAAGGTAGCCGTGATCGAAGACCTGTGGCCGCTTATTTGGCACCGGTCCATATGAGCACCTCCAAAATCACACAACGCAGGTACCTCACAGGTAAGAGGGAAATGTGTCCTTCGGTTCTTTCTCCCTATTGACTCTTCTATATGTGCGATCAGTCTACCCCCTGTATGAAATTCTGGTGCGTGTATGTGGTGTGCAGGCGGTGAGTGGGGCACACGCAGACGAGCTGTTCTCAAAGAAAAAGACAAGGGAGACGGGAATGGCCATATCTGGCTTATTATCCATCGTCGGGAATAAAATTCCGCCCACATATCATGCGCCGCATTGCGGCTGCAGACTGGGCATGAGAGAGAGAGAGAGAGTCCATAAGGCACAACGGGACGAGTGAGTTCCGTGAGAACAATCGGTGGGTGCCCCTCCACCAGTGTATATTCCCGGCCGAGACCGACGGGGCAACGTGCCCGTGGTTCAGTGGTTAGAGGTGTTGAACTTCTTTCTAATAGGCCGCGAGTTCGAACCCTAGGTGGTCCACATGTCGGGATTGGATATGAATGCCTGACGACGGCCAATAAACCAGAAATTGCCATTTGATTCTCCCTTGTATTTTTCAGTAATGCCATTCTGCTCCCTATATAGCGTGCTGCTGTGCAGATGCTGGTTGGGCTCGAGAGAGAGCCCGTAAAGCCCAACGGAACAAGTGAGTTCAGTAGAAACGATCGGTGAGAGTCCCTCTGCCTTATTCATATAAACATACGTGAACATATACATATGTACATTTTCAGGATGAGGTTCTTGAGGTGGGTCGTAAACTTTCTAAGAATGTTTTTCCGGATTCCGTTGACGTTGGGCATCAAACAAACGGCAAAATTACGGGTCATTAATCACCTAGTAAATGTACTAGTGGTGGACGAATGTCTTAAAATTATTTAACAGATTATTAAACAAGGTAGTTTGGAGATGCCCGCTTTCGTACTTGGTTTGTCTCCTGGCAACAGTGCACAAATACTTTTCAATTTCTATTGTGACTGAAAATCGACTTGACGACATTCGCCCAGATATATATTATGTCAGAACTTCTTGTTTACAGGTAATTATATAACCTTGCGTGGACTGTGCAAACTACCCCCTTTTACACCGAACAACCCCCGGGTTTGGGTTTCGTCAAATTGAAGCGGTTTTCTCAACGAGCCGCATTACAAGCAAACGCACCCGCTACTCTTATGTAGTGCGAAGTCTCCCATTTGACATTGCCGTCGATGTTGACGACCTCCTCGACCCCATTCCTGCCAACGACCCGTACAGTCAGTTAAAGAATGCTGTCATCCAGAGAGTGGCCAAGTCGGCCAATCGGATGCTACGGGAGTCGTTCACACAGGTAGAACTGGGAGATCAAACTCCTTCACAGCTTATGCGTCACATGCGCTCATTGCTCGCTGGTCGTCATATGGACGACGATATTCTTCGACAAATTTGGGTGGATAAGTTGCCGGTTCCCATGCAGCAGGTTTAGTCTATGCTGGACACTAGCGTCTGTCTAGACAAATTGGCCAATCATGTCGACAGGATCAGCGAATGTTACCCGGTCGGTGCGAGATGCGCCAATATTCAACCGACCTCAGTGTCCCACAGATCGGATAGGGTAGCCATCTCTTTTCCAGACGGCACTCCTTCAGTGGAACGTGACACTTGTGTGGACCGGTCGGCCTGTCGTTGCTCATCACGCGGAGCAACTCAACGGTCAACGGTCGCTCACACTTGACATCGGTCTTCGGCGACGTTTCCAGTGGGTCTTTGTGAAGGCCGACGTTAAATCTCCCATCATTGGAGCAGATTCCCTGACACACTTTGGCCTTGCAGTCGATCTCAAGCACCGAAAACTTATCGATACCACAACTACACTCTTTACCGTAGGCACTGCTGCTTCTGATCCCTCGGTTAGCATCCAACTGACCGTACCAAGCTCACCCTTCGCTGACATTTTGAAGGACTACCTGTCCCTCACTAAGCCCTGTCAGTTCACCGGTGAAGTTCAGCATACGATTAAACACCACATCATCACCACGGGACAACCTGTTTACGCTCATCCTCGCCGTCTTCACCCAGAAAAACTTCGGATAGTAAGGAACGAATTTGAGCATATAATGAACCTAGGAATTATTCGTCTTTCCTCCAGCCCATGAGCTTCTCCCCGCCACATGGCACCCAAGAAATCCACTGATGATTGGAGACCATGCGGCGACTATCGCGCTCTCAACAGAGCCACTGTTCCCTACCGATACCCTATTCCCCATATGCACGATTTTTCTCACACGCTAGCCGGAAAAACCATTTTTTTCTAAAATAGACCTCGTGAGGGCATATCACCAAATTCCGGTCGAGGAAGAAGACATCCCCGAGACCGCCGTCACAACGCCTTTCGGTTTGTTCGAATTCCTTCGCATGCCGTTTGGTTTGCGCAACGCGGCCCAATCCTTCCAACGCTTCATCGATGACATCTTGCGGGGTCTCTCATTTACTTATGTCTACATTGACGACATACTCGTCGCAAGTTCTTCGGCAGAGGAACATGCCTTGCACTTGCGCCAGATATTCGACCATTTCCAGCAACACGGTTTGCAATTAAACGTCGACAAATGTATCTTTGGCGTCTCTTCTTTAGATTTCCTTGGTTAGCACGTCGACCAGCATGGAATCACACCGCTGCTAGAGAAGGTGCAGAGCATCCTGTCATTCCCTGTCCCCAAGACCCTAACTCAGCTGCGGCGTTTTTTAGGTCTTTTCAACTATTACAGACGTTATATCCCTCACTGTGCGGCGACCCTAGCTCCCTTAACTGACCTTCTAAATTCTAAAGCAAAGCCGATCGAACTTCCTCCAGCAGCTCACTCAGCCTTTGAGACATCTAAGAAAGCTCTTGCTGATGCCACTTTGCTTCACCATTTCAGCTCCGATCCCAACGCACAGCTGATCTAGACCACTGACGCTTCCAATAGTGCTGTCGGCGCAGTCCTACATCAACAGGTAAATAACCATTTGCAGCCATTGGCTTTCTTTTCACAGAAGTTACAACCGGCTCAGACTCGCTACAGTACTTTCTCTCGCGAACTCCTCGCCATCCACCTGGCTATTCGTCATTTTCGACATCTCTTAGAGGGCAGAGATTTTTCGGTTCACACCGACCACAAACCTCTCACTTACGTCCTCAAGCCCAAGCCCGATCGGTGGTCAAAGGAGGCTAACCCCAAGAAAGACCGTATGCTCGTTTTAAAATGTGAAACCGGTCCATTAAGTATCTTGCCAGCTTTCTCAAAGTCAGGAGCTCTACCAGTCCTGGATCTAAATGCTGATTGTGCGTTGTCTGACGTTGCAGAAAATAACATTTCTTCGGGCTGATCATAAGATCCGCGGTCTACAGCGTCTGGAGCAAATGACTCGGATTTTGCAGGAAATTAGGGATAGACTTGCCGTAAATGAGGCGGTAGTTCAGGTAAACGAGGCATGACTAGGGTGATAGGTTTTGGAGGAGCAGTTGCATCCACCTTTTTTAGATGACCGTGACGTTTTCGCGACCCATGGACAAGTTATTGAACTGATAGGGAATATGCGGTGGATGAAAAGTTTTGGGACGATATTCTGGCCGGACTTCTGTTGTCCAATAACTGTGGAGGAAGTCAGAATAGGCGAACCAGGGATCGTTTATTAATCCATCGATGATGTTGTCAAGACGCGGAACCAGGAAAGAATCGTCTGAGGCTTTATTCAGTTGTCATTAATCAATGCTAAACCTCAGGTTGCCGCCGTTTTTCTTGGGGAGGGTAACCGGGGCTACCCATAGAGAGTTGGATTGTCTTGCGATGCTCTGATAGAGGAAGTCTGGGATTATGGTGTTGAGTTCCGGCCGATAGTGGATAGTTATTCACTGTGGTGAATAATGTTGTGATTTGCGGCATCGGTGTTGATTTCGTGCCAAATAGGTTCGACACGGTCGGTCGGTCGTCCAGCCCAGTTGAATACTATCCGTAATGGAGGTAGCGTGTTCCTTAGGGCATGGCGACGAACGACAGCGATTTCCTGTCGGGTCAGGAGATCATCAGTCTATGCCAGCTTAGTTGCTTACGTAGTGTCAAGCTGAGTTACGCCAAAAAAGATATTGGAGATGACTTGTCTGGAAGGGAAAACGGTCGAGGGTTTGTTGGTGTCGACGATAAGTTGGTCGACACCGAGGAAGTCCAAAATTACCATGGCATATACCTTAATGCCTGAGGACACCAGCATGGGACGTACTGTAGTGCAACTATGGTGAGTAATAAAGACTACGTGTGCGGCTGTAAAAAGATAGGGGGGAACTGCAAACCGTAAGTAACTGCAAGAGTGAGAGAGGGGGATATAGGACGTAGGTATGGATGCATAGTAGGACAGAACGGATTATGCCAGTATAAATGAGTAGGGCGCGGAACTATCATCAAGAGTGCCAGCGACCGTCAGCGGACAATCCATAAGATGTGTGATAGAAATGGAAGGTACCATAACGAAGGACGTCCTACCGCGGGGGTTGTTGGACTGGGGCCTATGAACTCTTGATGGTGCCAACAGTCTTTCGAGTTGTTTGACACCTGGGGGAAGAAGGAATCTTCCTTATCAGGAGTGTGACGATGAGGCCGGGGATTGGTGGATACACTATGAACAGTCAGGTGTGGAGAGACGACTCGAAATTTTCCACAATTTGAACGGTAACGGAAATTCAGTGGAGGGGCAAATATGAAACTTCTGCTAAGCGTCTTCTAAACAGAGCCTGTCCATAAGAAAACGCAAGTCGAACTCGCAAACCTGAGAGTCCGGAAATACTCTGCTGTGATGCTGAGGAGGACGTTTGGGGAGGAGTAAGCATTCCCTCCGCATTGTTGTGTGCTGAGGCAGAACCAGTTGCAAATGACGACTATTGATTTTTCGGAACCAAAACGTTTTCCAAGGCCGCCCAGAAGTCGCCTAGAGAAGTTGAGGGTAGGAGGGGGGACGACGTTAAGGCGTTGTTACCTAGGATATCCACAAGGCAGTCTGTTCGTCTTATATTTTTAGCACAACCGACTAATAATGCTTCAAAACTTTGCATTACACAAAATATGCGTACAATGCTCGAACCCCGTAGAAACAGTTGAACATCTCGTAACTTTTTTTCAAAGGATTGTGACAGGCAGTGTCACCAACTGGAATTATGACCTTATGTCGGCTGTCTGGACGGCGAGGGAAGGAGCCCAAACGACGGAACCAACGACAGGAATTTTCACAGGCGGGTTAGTTTATCTTCGTCCACTTAAAGCAAATAACGGCGCGTAGTCCAGTTGTACGATGGTTTCTGCAGGGCAATCTACATAAGCGCCACATACACTTCAAGAGCTCCCAGTATCATAAATCACTTGTGCGAAAAGGACGGATAATCACCAGGACGAGGTCATGACCTCGTTTACCTCAGTCTGCCCCTGTCATTAGGACGGATATATATGCTAACAGCGGTCAGGGATAAGTAACCTCCGTTTGTCTGCTTCATGGGTTTACTTTATTATTGCGCAGCCACAGCATCCAACGAGTTTTTGTGACCCCCTTTCATCGACCGTTAACCCTATATCTCACAGACTTCCATCGACTTTAGAATTTCCTGTTTATGACTGTACTACCCGATGACTATTCAAGCCTATGTGCCAGTTTGAACCCTCTATTCATTTGTTTTACTACATAAAGCGCGTAATTTTTTCGCCCAATTACATCAAGCTCCGGGCCGTCTCGTCAGAGTGGATGAGTCATAGCGCTTTTCGCCGTGTGCATCCTCGTATTTTGCAAGGACACGACTAACAGTAGAATTAAGTCGGCCTTCTCAGTTCAAAATCTGTTTCTCGCTCGAGAGCAATGCTGGGAGATAGTCGCCATAGCGATTATCTCGCCCCGGAGGCTTCTCAAACCGGTTCGCCTGGCTCCCTTCGCATTATGACGCATTATTCTGCAATAAACATCCCAGACTCGTCCCCAACGAGACCATCAAATCTCGGCTTACGAATAAACGGCGTCTCTGGTGGTTGCACTGATCTGAAAAGTTCACAAATGCCTATGCGGAATTATGTGTCAAACGGCCAGTCACAGCAATCATGGACCATTAAACTTTCTGAAAGTCAAGACTTCGAAAAGATGCTTGGACATATAGGAAATAACGGATCAACACCGGTTACACCAACTAGCTTTCTTAATCCAAAGGAAATTTCGGCAGATCAAGAGCGTTTTGCAGAGTAAGTGGTCTCAGGCTCCTGCGGATTTCTGCACACTAATTTTACTTCATGCTAAGAGATTATACATACTAAGGTGCATACTAGTCACAACCTGGCAGTTCGGTTTTTTAGTCATGCACCTATTTGTCTTTGGATTGTGTAGGTTTCCACTGATTAAGTAACCAACCCTCCATGTATCTCTCACCTTTTCTTTTTGCTCATGTTCATGTTCTTATTTGCGCACATTAGCGGGATTTCAGTCGTGAACGAAGTTTAGTTAATGAAGTCTGCTTGTAGCAATTGGGGCATTTTATTCCATGTAAGTCTAGTCGTACTGGTCTCTGGATGCACACCTGTCGCTCACTGAGTTTGCCCAATTTAGTTAATAAAATTGTTGCCTGTATTCTTATGTCCCAGCAAAATGCAGTGGTTATAGATCTACTTTTTCGTACACCTTTGTTCTATTCGTCAGTATTCCTTCAAGAAATGGGGGTGAAGTCGGTGACAATGTCTCAGTCAGTTACCTAGGTTTACACCGGCTTTTGCCTCCAGTAGCTTCTTGATTATATGCGACGTGATACCTTGTCTGGCATAGTTTGGGTTCACCCTTTTGTTCTTCCCAGGGAAGTACGCATATAAAGTTTCCGGCCGGACTGTAACCCTGCTTGTCTACAATCTTCCAAAGCAGTCTTACATACAGTCTTTAATATCCGGGCGGCACTCGTTGCATGCCAGAAAGGTGGTTTTCGCATCCACCTGTTTATTACAGCTGATACTGACTAAAAACCCAATGTATGTGATTAGGACATGACGTGAATATGACACCTGTGGGGTCTGACTGCTTAGGAAGGCTTGACTTTATAAATAAGACAGTTATGCTTCCCCGCTGTTGGTCTCAAACCCCCGGGTACGTATCTTGACGCACTCATTGGCAGAATAGCAATCCCGTCTAGTGAATTTCCCATGTCTCAGAATCATATGTCGGTGACTAAAAATAGGGTGAAGGGTTGATGACAGATTGGGACATTTGCCGGAATTCTTCGAATATTTGGTTATACATGTGTCTCATTAACTCATTCGAACCTACGCTAGGTCAAAATAATCACCAAAATCTGATCCGTAACTGAGGTGATTGTGATGCACGATCTGCAATGAGAATTTGTCAGCCTGAAGTTAACAATTCGCCGGAATTTCGTTTCGACTTAACTATACTGCCCAACATTCTATACCATGTCATTAGGTAGTCAGTTTGGATGTATTTCCCAGTCGTCCATTGCTTTGCCACATCCCATTACTTCTAATAAGTGTTTTTTGGGGAAAATGGGATTCGAGTCTCATTTGACAGCCATTAACGCCCTTCTTCGAACCGTGTTCGAGTAGCCTGCTTGACGATGGTCGTCGTCAGCGTTTATACTCAATTTTTTCCCTGAAGCCTGGCATAAGGGGCAAGACCATCCTCTGGTGCCTCAACTGAGACGTACAGCTCGGTGTGGGGGAAGGGTATCGTACATGTCGTTGGCCGCGTTATGCAGGGCGATAACGATGCAAAATCTTGACTGGGGTCAGATGTCATACGCGAAGATCCTTCCTTCTGGAAACTATATGTTCCTTATCATTCGGCTAATTCAATCCTGTCACGCACCACAACGGCGGTGCCATTCACTAGTCTCGTCCCTCTCCGAGGTCCCCTTTATGCATACCCCTATTGCTGGGTTCGTGAACGCGAATATTGGTTGCCAGCTGAGGTAGTTTTCCCCTGCCGCCTAACTGGCCAAACTCTGTTAACTAAACAAGGTATCCAAGTAATTGCTTTTTAAGTTCTGCGAAACCTACTTTTGACCTACGCCGCGTTCCTATATTATTCGTATCCAGAACTAAGCCGTCTCCACCCACAGCCTGCTTGGGCTTGAACGTTAACCGACCTTCCCACTGTGATTCATCTGGAAAGACTTTCTTTAGAAATTAGACCTTTGCTCGAGAATCACAAAGGTAAACCTAATACGGACAGGCAAACCTCTAAGCGACTTCTGACGTATTTTTGTCTCGTTCGGACATGCTCTTACTGCCTGTCAGAAATAGCTTTTAAGCGACACGTGTGTCCGCTCCTTATTTCAGTCAGTTCACAAAGCAACTTGACCGGCTAAAGAACGAGCGGGAACGACGAAGACTATCAACGGATGAGGAAACTACGTTAACGGACGCTACCAGCAAGGGGACGCAAGAGTTCTCCGGCGCGGTGAAGCTCTCTCCCAGCTCACCTGCTCCTATGAACAAACTTGATTCATCCATCGGCACAGGAGTGGCCACAAGCGTTACCAATTCAGTTTCCGTCAACGCTTCCACTGGGTAGGTTTTCTATGTATTATTTCGTTTTTATTCATGTACGCTATAGCTTTATCGCATTTTTTACCACTTCTATCGTCTAGGAACCCTACGTACATACTAGCCTTTTCCTTCCTTATGTCGGTGCCCAATGCGCCTGCTTTTGGGTAGTTAAATAAATTGTCCCCGTATGTTCCAGGTAGTGGTCGTTTGCAAGATAAACTTTTTTACATTTCTTTTCACGCATGCACACGCATTCTTGATGCTCGTTCTTGATGCCCTTAGTCTGCATAATCTTCCTGGATGGTTTGTTACCGCAAATTCGAGGACAGATCTTCCACATGCGCGTCCTCCTTGGTTCTCCAAATCACCAACAAGTTGGGGGTAAATTCGTTCAGGGTAGACATTCAGCTCCAAACTTCTGCTGCTGCTATGTTTGCCGTTGCGCTATTTGGCGTATGGTTGTGCGCGCAGCGTACTGACCTGCTTTACTATAACAGACATGAAAGTCCTCTTGTCGACATTAAACTATTTTGTTTTCTTGAATGATGAAGCATATCTGCTGACTAGACAGATGTCAAGGGGAGCCCCCGTTGACCGTTAAGAGTGGGATCTTTGCTGTCTATTTCATTAGTTATGTTTTGCAGACTGGGCGGTTTAGCCAAACATAGGCACCACGTGCGGGACCAGCTGCGTTCACTCCTTAGTCGCTATTAGGAGTATTATACACTAACTGCCTTGGCAGGTCAGTATTGCAGAGGTCTATCGTCGACGAGGTAATGAACTGTGCTCACTATACGAAGCGCCCTATTTTTTCGATCCGCACGAGGAACCTGCCGGTGTGTGAAGTCGAGAACCTTTATGACCTTAGTCTTGAAGTACTGTGGGACGGTACGTCGTGTAGGCCACCAGCAAACCTGGCTTCCGTAATCCAGCTGCCAAATCCATTCACAGCATTCACCTTCTGAGGCTTTACAACATGGGTATCAAGTCGGGTGACAGCCTCCCTTGATTTCCCACTCCAAGAACCACTGCTAATTATGTTGCGTTTAATCCTCTATAAGGGTGACTTCATCACGATTGGGACTCTGTGTCAGCGACGACTTACTTACTTTACTTGTACTTGATACGGCTGCGATCATTCCTGATCTAGCCGGCCTCGATGATGTCCCGAATTGTACCTCTCCACGCGTGACGATCCGCGGCAGCAGATCTAGACAGCTCAACCCATTCCCTTCGCCAATGACGGAGACCGAATACCGAAGGTCCAAGAACCACCTCCATGTCTTGACGGACAGTGTCGAGCCAGGTTTTGAACTGACCCCCTCTTCGACGCCTCCAATGGGGCAACGGCGCCCGATCGAGGGCAGTAACACTGAGCTCCTGAGGTGGACGACGAAGAACATGCCCGAACCACCTCAGTCGTCTTTCTTGGATGGCCTGAGTTATCCTCATGCAACATGTCCAATAACAGTCAGCGACGATTCACGCACACGGTCGTGTTGGAGGAAAACAGATTTTTCAGAGCCTTTTTTTAGATCAGACCGACGCCTTGAGTCGACAAACGCACCCGTATACTTATTTAGAAGTGACCCAGACTGTTACATTGTCGTTTCTAGTAGCCGCACCGTTTCTGCCGCACTCCTACAAAATTCGGCTGTCTTGTCTGCGCTGATTTCGTGTTCCATCGGTGTACCTGCTAAAACCTCGTTGACTTAGTTAACCACAAGGCTAAAAAACTGTTCGGATCCAGTACTAATCTCCCGTGTTTTTCTTTAATACCTTGACTTTAGATGTAATCAATAGTTTCGCCTGCGTATATACGGAACTCTGTCTTCAAATGGGTCCATGGTTAGGCGTGAGCCTACGACGCATAGCTATCATTTCAGCGGAGCGCAACTGGAAAACAAGTCAAATTGCACTCAGCCGTCTCCGCGTCACTTTTTGCGCCCTGCGGTAGTCTGCCGTTCTCTTTCTGCTCTCGCAAACAGAGCTTCAAGACTCGTTTAGTTTGTTGCTGACAGGCAGTTAAGGACCTGGTTGCGCCATTCGTGCTGGGCTTCTAACCACCTTAACTCCTGTTTGATCTCTCACTCCTTATAACGCAGTTGGGTCCTCTCCCATCGCTCTTTTTCCGTTGCACTCACATGAACAAAAAGCCACACACCTGCACCCAAACGCACAATCTAGGGCAAGAGATATAGGGGGTGTTTAGAAGTAGACTGTCACTCCCAAGCCCCTGATTTATGCCGCAGGAATAGGGCTGTCTCTGTTCTTGCTCCTCATCTTCTGCGGGTTTCTTGACGTCGATTACGCCAGCAACCCCTTCGTCGGCGGTCTGCTTGTACCTACCGGCTCTCAACTCTTGTTCACAGCGTGCACACGCTGTGATTGCTGCTCGTTTGCACCGACGTGGTAGCAGACGTCTTCCATTCTCACAGTCCTCTCTCCTCACGATCAGGCGTCTCTCGCTCTTAGTGTGACTGTGTGCGCGTATGTTCTTGCGTTCTCCGGTAAGCGTCTAATTTATGTTTCTCACCTGTGTTTGTGTGCATGTGCGCACCTGCTTAGATTCAAACTGTTGTGTCTGCGCACTTCCTTCTGTGGGGTGATCACACCACTCATCTTGGCCCTTAAAGACCTGGGACCTCATTCTCGCCAGTACTCGAATCACACACATGCACGCACACTGTCTGTTTTCTCTGCGAACCGGCAGTGCGGCCTTCCGCCAACCAAGGCTAGCCTCTCGATCCATTGGCATAATTTCAGAGACTCTGTCAAATCATTACATGTCACAGCCTCTACTCACCCTCAGTCTTGTTGGTGTTAAGTTCACATAGTGGAAAGTATAAGGGAGTTAACTTCCTCCAGCCCATGGTCACAGCGTGCTCGAAGTCTTCTGTCGTCCCCTTCGTACCACCAATAGGTTTCGACCCTGCTGCCCTACAGTCTTACGTTTGTTGTCACATCCACACGTACAGACCCCGGCTTCTGTCCATGCCAACTTCGCTTAGAGGATTAGAAATGTATAACAACGGAATTGTATTCAGTCAGGTCAGTGACTTCATGTTGTCCGTGAAGGTGGCTTTCAGTCCTGTGAAGTAGGCTGTTTGCCAATTTGCATATCGGGTCCAAGTCTACCAACAGTCCTTTTGTAAATAGTTCTTCTGTGGCGGTGGGTTTTGCACACGAAACCTGTGCCTTTCTGCCACATTGCTTGCTCACGGTGTTCTTCGGACTTCCTATTTTCGCCCTCTTCCTGGCGCTAATCCTCGTTAGGCAACTTTTCCACTGCTTTCAACGACCAATTCGTAGATACTTCTGCCTTAACCGCATGCATATCCACACCCGCAAAGACATCCGATTTTATTACCAGAACTGGCTTTCGAAATGTCACGGGTTTAGCCTGCGACTGACTACAATCCATATTTGGTAACGTCAGCTCATCAACACCATTGTTATTGTGAGCTCTTCCGTCTGCGGTTCTATGTGGGAGTAAATGTTAGCTAACGGCTGCGGCTGATACCGGCATGTAACAGCTGCCTCCAACCTTAACATTTTTTGTCTGCAGTCGTTGGTGGTGTCTAGAATCGTGGTTTAATAGTTTTATTCGCTGCGCATGCAATATAATTAGGGCTTTGATCATGTCTGACCTGGCCTGTCTTGCTGATTGTCTTTAGCAGCGACTCGGGCAAACTACTTCATTGTCGGCTCCTTTGGCGAATAATAGGGCTAAATAATCTGCCTCTGATAAACCAATAAGAAGCCAAAGTACTCTCGACCGACGCTTCTGGACAGAATTCACTCAGTGTGATGCATTTTTGAGTTCTGTCATGGTTTCAACTAGACTACCATCATATTTATTTGTTGACCCTCATGCGACTTTCGATTCTTCCTACTGTGTACCTGTGGTATCAAGCAGTGCGTCAGGTGGGTTTAAGGAGGGAATTTGAACACTGACGGTTCATTTGTCGTGACCGTTGAAGATCTCCACTGCCCGAGGGAACACTGCTTCCTTGTTTGTGAGTTGGGTTGTACTGAGGGATGCTTGTGAAGTATCCGCCTAGCATAGTCTTTCCATACTTGTTCCACCGACTGGACAACGTCAAGCTCGTCGGAGATGTGTGGGCACAATGGCTGACCAGGAATCCGGGCCCTGTTTAAGCTTGCTAGTCTCCCATCCCACACGGATCCCGCTTCGGTGGAGGTTTCCGCACATTAAGTAAGATCAGCTGCAACCTGCTCGTTAGTCCGATTTATGTAACCAGCTGACGGCCGTACAAGCTACGACGTTCAGCTTGCCGGATATATTATAGGAGAATAGGTCTCTTTCCATGTACCAGTGGGAAGTTCGAGTGCGGCCAATAAAAGATGACCTCGAGTACAGTGAGCGACGTGGCGAAAAGCCTTCGCCTCGCACACGCCACACCTGTTTGTTCCTGCCTAGATCTAGCATCTTCACAGCCCCAAATGGATAGCACGTGAATAAGGGCCTACTGCCATTTTTTGACGGAAAGAAATACTTTCTCAATTTGAGCTGAATGAGGACGAGGATATTAGTGTTCACTCCTACTGTGTCTCCACGTAGAGGCATACAAATGCTGCCGGCGTCCTTCGTTCACCGATCTGAAACTGGACAACCAGGCGGGTTACGGCATATCGGGGCGATTGCACGCATGAGCAGGCGAAGCAGTTACGTGCAGCAAATTTTAAACGTTTGTACTTTGAGTTCGATATATTTATTTACTTGTCTTCGAACGGAGGTCCAAGAGAGAGGACCCGATAGTAAAAGGGCAAATATCATGAGGTTGAAAAGCTGCGCCCCCTTTTTGATGTTTTTTTTTTCACTCTTCTTTGTCTCGCACCATTTCCAGTGTTTCTGAGGACCTTCCAGACGGCACAGTTCTGTTGTCCGTTCGCGACCCCCTCCACCTTGCAACTGTTTCCAGTGCCTCCTGCGAGAACAGCGACAGTTCGACTACCCTTCTCTACAACTTACTTCCACCGCAACAGCAGCAGCCATCACCACTAGGTAGCGGTAGCCCCTCCTCCGGCGCCGCAGTCCTCTCCAACTCTTCTGCCTCCTCCACGTCGCCTAACCTAGGCGGGGGTCAACAGCAACAGCGCTACAATTGTCAGCCCGTCCTGGATGTTCTCCTGCCGCCCTTTTCTCGCCCCAGCTTCTCTCTCCCGCCGCTCCGTGGTAACGGCAGTAACTGCAGTCGCCAGCAACACCACCAGGACCTCCTTTCCGTAGTCACGAGCGAACACCAGCAGCAACAACAGGACTATGCACTCAGCGCTGCTGACCTGCGCCGCTGTATTCCACATATCTCCACCGATGATTCTGCTTCCCCACATCAGTTACTCGCAGCCTCCACGGCCGTTCAGATCATCAATCAGGCAAGTGAACTCTGTGACGTGATCAGCCAGGCCGGTGGTGAGGCTGTCTCTCTGGCCGACATAACTCTTCACGGGCACGTGACAACGACGGACGGCCTTCTCCACATTCTTAATGCTGGCGATCAAGTGAGTAATCTCCCTCCTTGCGTACCAGCTATCATACATTTCGCCCCAGCTCTTAATATTCAGATGGTTTAGATGTTAGGTACGATGCGTTGGCGACCCAAGAAAACGCTACGGGTTACGTGCAGGACAACTGTAAAATAGCTGGGATGCATTTGAAGAGATAACCTACGAAGGGAACTAATAAAAATAGGCTGCTAAGACTCAGGGTTTCCGTGTTTTTCAACCCCCGGTCAGGTAAACAAAGCGTTAACGGTTTGCCCCTCAGATCAGCCAAAATTTTCCGAATAAGTCAAACCTGCCCTTTCAAGCATTTCTACAAAAGTGTGCACACTATGCACTGATGTTTGGTTGCTTCACCCGTGGGCGGTGTCGACCTCGTCATCAAGCCTGAAAATCATTTAACTTAATAAAACCGTCTGCTGATAGCGAAAGTACCGTTTCAGTACTAAATATAGGTCGAATGTGTCTTTTCCATCGGTCAGCCTAGAAGTAAGTTCCCCGAAGAAATCGCGCATCGGACCAACAGAACACGTGCACTTGCAACCCAGCATTAAACGGCCCCGAAGGTCGGACAGAACACTAATTATAGAGTATAGGAAGCCTTTGACAAGAAAATCCTTGTTTATGGACATGAGACACAGCCTGCGTGCTCAGAACTCACCGCCTGGGGATGTCTTTGACGCCCTCGGATGGCGTTTCGGACGGATGACTACAGTTCATGGGCCGTTAAAGTGGCTCATCCGTTTCTGTCAACTTGAGTGACAGTCTTTAGCAACCCTGACTTGCCATCCCTCCAGAATCTGGACCTGGCGGGTGGCGATGTCGGGGAAGCCATAGGTACGTGTGTTGAAAGCCAACCCTGAACGCATCTCTATCTCTTCGGTCTTTGGGGTTGGGGTGCCGCCAATCGACTGAATGGAAAGTGGGCATTTATTACATAATTACCCTTAGAGATAAAGCCTTATGAAGTAGTTTTGATTAATGTGGTCGTAAAGTGGAGGAATTAGACTCTCGGTCCATTTTTGATTCCCGTGATATCTACGAGACAAGTCGACAGGCCGTGTTGGTAGGATGGAGGAAAGTTGTTAAATGTGTGGAGGTTAGGTAGTGTGCTGTGGGCCTACGCTTCATGCTTCTCCTTTCATGAGTACCGTCATCGTCCTAACAATCGCATCCAACACCGCTCTATGCCAGAGGATCGGTTGACGTGAGATCAGTTGGTCTCAAAATGAGTGAGCGCTTTGCGTTTCAGAGGCCGCCTACGGACCAGACAATAACTCCCGCCTTACGCATTCCACGGACTTCCTTGTCCGTTGACCAGAACTTTGCGCACTAGAATAGAATTCCCTATAAAACCACGCTAAGAAGGAGTCATCGCAGCCCGACCAAATCGCCAGGAGTAAGTTGATTCGCCAGTTGACAACCCTCTAAGACACGACTTCAAGAATACCCGGATTTTAGTGAAGGGTTTCACAAGATCATTTTCAATCCCCTCTTCCACAGTTTCCCAGTGACAAAGTTAGGGCAGACGAATTACATGTGAAACTGAATGGATTTGTTCGGCGACCTCACTCCCCGCCTAGAGATTTTTTATCCTGCTCGGTAGAAACGGCCGCTGCCACCCAAGGCGTTGGTGATCTCCCGCTCGAGTTGGTATCCGGCGATTTTCGAAGCATTTATTTCGCTCGTTTCTTACATCGACCATGTTTCAGGCGCAAAACTAAGTCAAGATAACTAGAGATGCGTAGTGACTGGCACTGCTAAACTAACTGTCCACGCCTGCTATGCGCGTGCTATTCCACATACGTACACGAACTAGACTCCAGAAAAAAGGGTCTGAATCCCTCATAGAGTTTATCGGAAAAGTTGTCCTAACTTCACGTGCCGGTATCCAGTTTTTAATTACACTGATAGAAAACAGTGATATCGAGCGCAGTAGCTGACGTGACCCGAAGCACACATTGGTTATCCAACGGGCCACTTAAGTCCTATTCATTCGCCCTCGCACACCCACGCGTGTAATTCGGTGCCTTTTCAAGATTAGTGGCTGTGCAAAAACAAGCGACTGTGATCACGTGCGGTCTGGGTGTTTTCGTCGATAAGTGGCTCCTATGGAGGCTGGGTTGGCCGAAAATAAACAAAGCAGATTGCACCCTTGCGCATGCATACCGCAGAGGTATATTGCGCCCTGGCGCACGCCTGTATGATGTGTTGTGCATGAGTATGTACGCTTTTGATTCACTATGCGTGGGATAGGAGGAGACGACGGGTGCCGTATGAGTCATGCACAACTTTCGGCTTATATCGTCGTCGCGGTTGTTTTCGTCAGTCTTCGTCCTCTGCGCATCGCAGAACGAACACCGGTGACTCATCGGTGCGCGTCGCATCCGCATTCGTCGCACTAGCCCACTTTCGCGTGCGCGTGTATGCTCTCGTGTATCTGTCTCCTCACCTAGTACGTACGCGCATTTCGCTGCCCCGCATTGGTTGCCGGTTGTCGCGTCCCCCCTCCATTCTCCCCCCACTTGCGCCAGTCTTTGTTCTCCACACGTGGCGGCCAGTGCGTATGCGATGGCCAATCCCCAGGACCACCTTAAACGCGCCCCTCCGCGGGGAAATTGCACCCCCCACCCGCCTCCACTGCCTGTTTTGCACATGCTTTTCGCCTGCCACTGCCGCTGAAGAAGTTAAACGCCAGCGAAGTCGATGACTCACTCGTGCACTCTTCGCGTGCATGTGACCTTGACTCGTTCAGAACGTGACTCGTAGTCAAGGCCGCGCATCGTCGCCTCCATCGCGCTGCGCCATCCGGAGCTGAAGCGGCATCGTGGCGGCCTTGTTATTGCACACAGCCCACGTACCCACGGACGGTGCGTCTTTCTGCATCGGTTGCTTCGCAAACTAGTCTCTAGCAGTCAGCCGGTCCAGACGAATAGAATGCTCGGTCAAACCGGATTGCCTGGCCTTCGTTTCCCCTACATCTGGAGGCAGCCCATCTAAACTGCTTGTTGACTCCTTGAACCACTCGTATATCACTTAGTATCGCGTTTGGCTACCATTTGCAACAATAATGCCTTTTCCTGCTCCTTTTCGTATCAAGATTTGGTGTCCTTGTCCTTTAACTCTTGCACATGGAATGTTCACTCTTTTTACTGATATAACCGGCCTTAAAATGCCTTTGTAGGCTCATTAGTATTCGGCTAGCTGTTCCAATTTCTTAAGCACTTTTCACCCACTTCTGTGTCCGTTGTAGGACACCTTATTTTGAAACCAGAACCTCTGACGTTTCCTGGTGCATAGTGCCAAACCCATTTTTCTTCTTGCCATCTCACCCCCCATTATGTAGGCGAAGTAATGGAGGTTTCAGAGCAATGTTAGTGGTCGTTCAGTTGCCCTCAAAACTACCTAGGTTGCCGTTCCAAAAGGGCCTGATTGGGTGAATCACCTGAGCCGTCTTCTAACTAGTCTAAATTAATCTAGGTCCCTTCAGCAGAAGCGAAAAGTCTTCAGGATGTAGTTATCTTCCTATATGTCCAGAAGACTTCTGAGCTGGCGGTAGTCGACCGCATCCGACTTCCACTTTTTAGCCCCCTCGGCTCGAAAAGGTTCGGGAAAGTCGTATGAATTTGACGGACCGGCGACGAATCTTGAATCTTAAGCTTAAAAACTTCAGACATCACATTGATCAAACTATAATGGACCCTGTCTTTCTACGGTGTGTTTGGTCAGTTGACTCTTTCTGTCACTTCACTCCCCTTTTCGGAATGTTAATGAGTGGCAGCGAACTTTCCTGGCTCCATATCGGGTTAATGGGAACTGTCCTTATCGAGCATTTATTGTAACGAAAGCGCCTGACCGTCCCTCCAGTGATTGCCAGCGATGGCTTATTGTTCGGCACTGGGACATCTACACTTTCTGATGGGAGGGTAGATGATCAGGCATGATCGCAGCCGTATCAAGTACAAGCAAGTAAGATGATAAATGGGTGACCTTATGACGCCAACGATTTCGATCGTACAGTGGGTGGGCTAACTCATATGTCAACGGAAATTGGGAAATGCGATTTCGTTTCGAAAAGATTAATTAAGTAAGGTTGTAAGAATAACCATCTTGGAGCATAATTTTATAATATCTCAGTTACCTAAGGACGCCGGCTCTCGAACGAACTTTTTTCCGACTGCATGCAAAAAGTATACTCGGTAAAAAATGGCTACTTAAGTAGCGTGAGTTTTTCTCATTGATTTTAAAGGTCCTTGAAAATCCAATTATATTTCATGGAAAGCATGCATAAAATATTTTCCCTTTTGCACATTTGGTAAAAAATTACGTCTTCTTCCAGTTGTACACTCAAAGGAAGGGTATAATTCGGTTTTAAAAAAAGTTTCTAATTGTGATATTTTTTAATACCGTGAAAAGGCCGTTCGTAAAACGGCATGTCTCTGCATTTACCAATGTGGCTTGTAAAGTTAACACTATGGTTTAAATCCACCGCTCAATTGTATGAACCTCATATGGTCTCCTTAATACCACAGAGAAACGTACGGCTTTCTGTACACGGAAAATATATGGCTTGTAGTTTGGAGACCATGAATGCAAATGTAACGGCAGTTCGGGGCTCAGAATTATTCGGGAATTGGGAAACTTTTTAAAAACTAAATTATACCCCTCCTTCGAGTATAAAATTGGAAGAGGACGTAATTTTCTACTGAAGGAGCAAAAGAAAGAATATTTTATGCACGTTTTCCATGAAATAAAATTAAATTTTCAAGGTCGTCCGAAATAGCCGAGAAAAACGCATGCTACTTAAGTAATCTTTTCGAAACGAAAACGCATTTCCTAATTTCGGTTGACATTTCATAAGTTAGTCCACCTACTGTATGTTCCATCAACAGGGAGCACCGGCTATAGTCCCCGGCTAGATCGCAGTCGGTAGCCAGGAATGGGGAGCGGACGGCGACCTTAACCCTAATCCTATCCTTAACCCAAACCTCAACTTTAAACGTTAACCGTTAACCCTAACGGCAACCCTAACCGAAATCGTAAACGTAACCGTAGCCCGTAACTGGAAACCCTAACCGTAATACTGAAACCTAGTCGTACGCTCAGACCCTAACCGTAACCCGAAAACCTAAGCCTGAATGCATAACCCGAAAATCGGAAACCATGAACCGGTACCCTAATCCTTACCTCAAACGTAAAACGGAATCCAAATGGGTCAGATGTGATTATGGAGCCCCATAAAATATCCCCAATAAACAACCCCCCCGCCACCTGTAATACGGGGCCTGGCTACCAACTGCGATCTAGCCTAGTCCCCTACCACTACCACAAGATGCATCGAACAATGTCGAGGGGTAGGTCTTGTGCCTGTCCAAGCTGGCGGAGTATAGAATGCCCCTTCTATTGATCTATAATCAGCTACCTCAGCTGACAAACTGTCAAGTTTTTGTCGGGAAGATTGTTTCCTTTTGCTGCCGCCAGTGTGTATATCATCAGAATTTTGTTTTTAAATTGATCGGTGACTTATTATTTTTCAAGATAACTCGTGGGTAGGCAGGCGTCAGGGTTCATCAATTGATGGATAGGTCTCAGATTCAAACAGCCGCAAACGTACCTATCACGTCGTTTTCCCCTCACTAAAGCAGAACCAGGCGGTGACAAGAAACGAGGGCCTCAATAACCCTTCCTTGTCGGGCAGATAGGTTAAAGTAGCTAGGGTTGAAGTTATTCCGGGGTGTTGTTAACCGGCCTATTCTGATTGCAAAAAGGGTATACGTACTCCTGCTTTGCCTTGGGGTCTCAGTCCAGAGCCCTCGTTAGCTGCCACATATCAGCGATGGACAAAGACATGGAGGACTGAAATGCCATTTTTAGCTCATTTGCCGTTATCGGTTAGCCATGTCCCTACTGTCGACCGGAACAACCTAAGACTAGAACGCTGGTACGGTGCGACACTAAGCGTCTGAGGATCCTTCCAGCCGTCGGCTTGCGTAATTCTCGTCTAACTGTCCCCCCTCCCCGTGTAGTAACATATTTCAGACGATGTGGCGGGGGAAGGAGTTGGCCCCGCAATGGCTTATAGTGCACCTGCCCACGATAGTGAGCCATCCAGTACGTGCGTTAGCTTCCAAATAAGCCACCTGGTGCTTCGTATCATCCTACTTCTACATATTGTGTGAGTCAGAGTTAACTTCCCTCGGGCCTTGCTAGACAATTTCTAAGATCGTCCTGGTAAATCAGTTTATGTCATCTGTAAGGACATCCAGATGTGTTCAGAATACCAATTAATTCGCTAGAGGTCCACAGGATTCCCGAGTCCCCACTGCTCTATCTTCTGCTTTGCTTATCCTTCAAACCTACAGAACGTTCTTCTCTCTGGCGATGGATCTCAACACGGCTCCCGTAGTCTGAACGCCCGTCAGCTGTCCGCCGCCAACGTTATCGGCTATGGCGTCCTGGATGACCCCTCTGCCTTTGCTACCGGTTCTAGTATCCTTGATCGTCAGGGTCTGCGCCTTCAGCAGCAGCAACAAGTAACTTCCGACTTTCTGTCCACCCAGCATCAACACCAACAACATCAAATGCTTATGACGCAACAGCAACCGCAGCACTTAAATGGCCTGGGCGGATACTCTCCGGTTTCTCAACAGCAGCAGCAGCTACCCTCCCAGAGTGCAGACAAGTGCTGCAACCGAAAGCGTGCCATTTCCAACACTGTCGGCGCTGCAAATGACCTGAGTAAGAAGCGCAACCGTCGTCGCCACGAACCGACGATTGCGGCGGCGCAGGCCATTGTGAACGCTGCTGCCTCCTCCGGCACGGCCGCCCACGTTAGTGATATGGGTCTTTCGCAGCAACAACCATGTCCCGGCGATTTGATGGACCACTTAAGTCTGACGGCCCTTGGTGGCGTCAATCCGGGCGGGGCTACCAACACCACAGGTGCTACCGGTGGACGTCTTGCACCTAACCTTGCCGGAGGGCTGAAAATGGAGGAATTTCCATCGAGGTCTTTCGAAACGGATATCGAGGAGTCCTCAAACCGGTCTAGTTCAGTCCCACCTTGTGGAGATGCACAAGATCCCACTGGTACGTTGCCATATTTCTTTTGGTACCCACCCGACTGGTTTCAATGTTTTCTCTCTTCAAGCTGTCATCTCATTCGCAGGGCAACACATTTCGAAGACAGAGATCCCAGGGCAATCTGCTATGGTGGTCTCCATAGTATTAAGCTTTTAATTTTCAAAATAGGAGTTATTCATATATTGCTCTTCTTGAAACCCTCCCCGAGCATTCCCAAGTATACCTAGAAATAAGCAGGCTTGTTTAAGGGATTGCAATGCTTGTGAGCACGGAAAAAGTTTATTCCCGTCTCAAAAATATCGCTACTTGATTTTCGAGGCTTCAGTTGTAAATTACTATTCATTGGAATGTCGGGTAAAATAATTGATTTCCGATTGCCATTATGGCTCTAGCTTTTTGCCCAAGCAACTGTGTGCCAAATAGTCGGGACGACTTATTGGAGTAAAAACATCAGGATAATCCGTATGTCTAAATTGCAAATGTCGACAAGGTTCAGTCTTACATCTCAGTCTTTCCTAGAGGGCATAATCGACTTCACACCAGCATTAAAAGGCAATGGGAAACTACACACTACTTTTATAGTGGTATTACTCCCATTTGTCACCTAATGAGCGGGAGGCAAGGGAGCTGGAAGTAGCATGCTAAGGTATTTAAACTAACTTGCAATGGTTTCTGTCATTATTAGGAACCTTTGTCAACTTAAGTTTGTATGAGGACTTCGGTTGGTGTTTCACAAGTTTATACGCACACTACAAGCCCTGTCGATCCTCTCCGTCCCCCAGGGCCTGGCCACTCTAGGATTCTTAATCAAATCGGGATGCCCTCCTCGAGTCAGACTGCCAAGTCGAGCACCCTTAGCAGACTGACGCCTGGGAATTGGCAGCATCAGAAGTGCCACTCATAATTGGCAAGGACGAGTATCTGGAATTGTTGCTTTGGGAGTGTTATTTGCCAGCTGCCAATCTTCGACTGAGAAGTCTCCGGACTGGGGGATTAATGCCTCGCGTTGCCATCCTATGTCCCACGCAACGTCACCGGCTCTTCTGTTGCCAATGTGCTTGATCCAGCTCGTCGGGAGCAAAAAGCTATTGTCTTCACGGATTGTGGACTCGATGATGTATTATGATCTTGTCGTAATCAACCCACTCCACGCGCTGATCCCTCGGCCATCCTATTACCTCTTCGTCTTAATCGCACTTTTGGAAGTTTTCTCCGGCTTTGAAATTCGGCAGATCTCATACAAACTAAAAGCATTAACCCTAACTTCAGCGAGTCAGCTGGTAAGAACGGATACAGGCGCTCTGAAGGGCAGAATGAAGCATGATTTCCCGACACTGCGAAGTCGTATTCCCTCAGCGGTGAATGCTTTCATTCAAGTAACCCACGCCGCCCCTCGTCACTCCTAAATTCGGCTTGTCCTGTAAGTAGGGTCGTCATACCTGATGCCAGCACTGGAGGCCGCGATGTTCGGAAGGGTAAACACCCACTAGATCTTACTGACTGTAGTTAAGGGTAAATGTTCAAGACACGAGCTTTCAGGTCCTGTCTTGAGACCTTGACTGCTTGTCGTGGAACCTTTAAGATGCACACCGACTCATTAAATCTGTCCAAACCGGCCTCCTTCAACAATGTCTTTGCGATCTAACAATAGCGTAGTAACATAGTTCTCGTACGCTGCAGTTCACGAGTGGGCGATGTAGTTAGCACTTGTTCACTCGTTTTGGGAGTTCTGTTGCAGTAATTGGTTGTGTCACTGGTTTAAAAGATTGGAGATCGGTTTTTCTCGCATGATTTATCAGTAGTCGAGTGCGCGAGTTTACGTTTGGCAGCTGTTATACCATCACGAGCCTGAACCCCAGCAAGGTGGGCCGGGAACGCCCATCTTTAGATTCAGAAATTGCAAGAAACCGACCCTACACCAAGTTTTCCCGTCATGACAGACTAGGACCGGCGCTACCTTTAGAAGGAACTATTGACCTTAGCGGTAGTTGAATTATAATGAGAGGTTTGCACAGCATCGATCCCACCCTTACCTTCCAAGCTCATCGTGTTGTGATTCCAAACAAGGTCTAGGAGGGACCCCCACAGTTTGACGCTTGTCCTCAAACGCCAAGTTATTCCGCCGGTTGACAGCCGCATAAATCAAGATTTTTGAGGCATCGCGCTAATTTACAGGCCCGTTTGTTTGGTTACAGCTACAAGCTGTCACGCAGGACCGATCTCAGTCCTCAGAGGTTCCACTGTTTTCCAGAGGCACGACCGGACAAGGTCAGCTGGAATGACAAACTAGATAATCGCCCGGTTTCTCGCCCCTTGCATGTACTAGTCTCCACCTTTGCATTATAAATGCCATAACTCCTACCTTCATAGCTCGTCGAACATTCTCTAGCCAACATTTCAGCAGTCACAGACTGACTTAAACTGTCCCGTGACTCCCTAATCCAGCCTGTCTGCCCATACGCCTGTTGATTGAATCTAAGTGTTCACACCCGTTCTTACTCCGGTGTTGGTGGTAGACGAAGCCAGATAGCCAAGTTTTAGGATTGTTAAGATGTATAAAACGTGTTGCCTTTACTTCGCTACATGGACATCACAGGCCTCCCTCATCCTTATTTAGAGGTGCCGTCGTATTTGATACTTTTATATGAGTTCATTGTTTTAGATTGCATTAGTGAGTAGTAACTTAACTACTTTTGCATGGCATCAGTCTAACAAAGGATATTGTGCATGCCTACCTTATTCCCCTTGAATAGATCCAAACAAGCTCAAGGTGGAAAGAAAACGTGCCCGCAACCGACTGGCCGCACGGCGTTGCCGGGAGCGTAAGGTTTCCCTCATCAACTCTCTTGAAAACAAGGTGGCCGAACAGAACAACTATGTCAAACGCCTCGAATCCGAACTGGAGCGGTACCGCAATGAGGCCAGTCAGCTGAGGCTTCAGCTAGAGCAGTTGGCCGATTCCTTCCCCAACTTGCGCGAAGATCTTCTCAAATTGCCTCCGCCGATCTCAACTACCGTGGCTTCTGCTGTTCCCCAGAAGTTGCCTCATCTGTCCTCCTTCGAAAAGCTTGAACCGCCTCAGTAGCCGCATCTGCCAATGACTGACCCTCTCACCTTTTCGCGCCACTTTTTGCTGATACCCGGTCTTCAAAGTGACACCACTTTTTTACCATTTTTTGTAATCAGTATCCTTATTACCATCATTATCAGTATCGTTACTACCATCATTATGCTGCCTGGTGCATCCTTGCCTTTTAATTGCACGACCACATCACTAATGACCTCCCCTATACCCCCTTTTTAGGTCACGGGGTATTCCTGCCTTTTCCCCTTTTTTATTTTTGTACTAAATGTTATTTGTGTTTGTCTACCTACATGTATTTCCGTGTGTATATATGTACTTTGCAGGGATCCGCTGTGTGTACTGCACTTTGTTGCCGGCCGCCCTCGACACTTTTTTCACGCTTTTTTACAACCCGTCGACTTTCTACGGGATCTGCATTTTTGTTTTCATTTTGCAACCATCATCTCCCCACCTGCACCTTCGTTTGATCTCTTGCTCGTATCCTTTCCGGAGTAGCGCCCCCTCCCACCGCGGATTTTTACCTCGCAGTTGCTACTGTTTCCAATCCTCTCTGTACAAGACGCCCCTGCTTCTCTGCATTTCTTTGTGGACCAGGACTTCGGCTCGCCAACCGTCCGGTCTGTGTACACAGACTATGCCGGGTTCGAGCTCCCCATACCGGCTCTTTCTCCCCCTTGCACAATTTGTTTGTGCCTGCATGTGTCCTTTCGTCCGTGCGGACTCACTCCTGTCCCCCGCTCTGTCGAGGCCAAGTTTCCCGCGGTCCAACGAAGCCGCACCCTATCTCCCGAATGTCTCTTTATATCGCTGTTGCCTCCTTTGTCGTAAGAGAGCGTAGGACACGATTTCACAAACCTTACTTCAATTTCGATACGTAATTTCTACACTTTATACTTTTTACTGATAAAATTCTTTAAAATGTTTTGCTCGGCCTCTGTTTTGATGTCCTCCATCCCGTTTGTCGTTTAGGTGGGGTGCACCTCTCAGTGCGATCGCTCCCTCTTTCTGGCTTGTTGAACTTCTTTCTACAGGACCTTTGACTTGAAAGGGCAGTTGTACTCGATACGACGTTTAAAGGATTCCCATCCGGGGCTATAGGATAGCCGTCCCCCCATCTGGCAGACCTTGACACAAAAACTTCGGTTTTTGTAACAGCAGCTCCTTATTGTGTTTTGTGCGGAAGAACTCCAGTCTGGTTTTGCGATGGCGGGCTACGAAAGCGAAACCGAATGTCAGCATACAGGCTGATCTAATAAAGGACGAGGTGCCACTGTCTAGCCATTTTTTCTCGACGGAACCGATGGTGATGGCTGCTCGCTGTTTGCATCTGTCGCGATAACAGTCTGTTTAAAATCGGTTTTGCGATTACCGGGATGTTTTGTACGAGACTGTCTCAGAGACACTTCTCTGTTGTTGCTCACCGTCTGTGGGTTTGTGATTCAAGTCGGGGTTTCCTCCACTGGTGGACTACACGGCGAATTAGTCGGTGCCTGATTGGTTATCAAAGAGACGTTGGCTGTGCTCGGAAGGTGGTCGGTGTTGCTTGGGTATCTGAGCCAACTCCCATGAGAATTTTGGCATGTTCTGAAAAAGCAATCAGGTACGTTCTTCCTCGCACTCGAACATTTCAAACACTAACTGCGCTGGCCAACGTTCAACTTTGTAAGCAAATTGGGAGACAAACTGATGCAATTTTAATTCCTTTTGGTAACTGGTTTTCTGTCTTATCCTTAGTAGTTTGCAAGCGTCCTGGCTGCTTATTCGACGCAGATAGCTGGATCGCCTGTCATAATCGACGATAACCATATAGTAGCCTAGGTGGCTTTTATACTCCTCGTCTGAGCTACAGAGCCCGCGGGGGGGTGCGGGAGCCGGCATAACCCGCTCATTGTTGGGCCACGGTCTGCGAGCTGGGTTGCCTCAACTCAGCGGTTGGAGTGTTATGATCTGGGGGAGGGGGGGGAGAGGCGGAAGCACATGGACGTGGTAGCCCCGAATGTTTATTCGCAGTGCAGGCATTCGGGTGGCGACTGGCAGACGTTCTCGGGCATCTTCACTCAAGTATCGAGCTTATGGTGCCAACTAGTGAAGACATTCAGGAAGGCACTGACTGTTGGCAACGTGCTTCGGCATTCTAGAATTACTTTCTCGCTCCTCCCTGGCCTTCTCTGTGGCTAGCATCGGGGTTTGTAGATCCACTCTACATCAGACAGTTGGCTGCCGTAGGTGACCGGTGGAACTGCAAACTGACATCAAAAGGTGCTTCGCAGGTCACTCGAGCGTTATTCTAGCACTTAAATCCTTTGTTCCCAAGTTTTTTTTACAGGAATCGGAGTATTTGCAAATTGTCTGAGCTAAACGTTAGAGAATATAACAGGTGAGGGAGCAGTGTTCGAAATATCAACACTTGAGACTGGAAGTAAATTCACAAGGAAGGCCAGCGTATTAAAAAGCCCTCCGATTCAACCACGTGCTCACTTCATGGGCGACTGCTTCGTTTAGGTAGATTTTTAGAATGACCGCTACCGACGCCTAGGGTGTGTTAGGGAACTGTGCGTACTATTGTCAAACTCCGGTGTACTTTTGATGTGTCCGCACATCGAGGACAGCTGGTGGATCAATATTCCCTTTGCCCCGGCTGTCGACAGAAGAACCAGTGCGAAGTTACTTCGAGCATTCTCAGGACAGAGGCGGAAAGAGATTTTCTCATAAGCCTAAATAGAACTTTCTCGTCATTTAAGTCAGCACCAAAAAATGAAAACTGTTAAAGAGTAGGCCTTCTTGGCCATCTGACAGGCGAGCCACACCATGAAAAGTGAAGTAGACAGTCAACTGAGCACTTCAGAATGTTATAAGGCCCGGAAAACGGGCCGCGCGTAGATGTGGTGGATCAATCCGGGAACTAGGTCGGAGTCTGGCAGGTGTTATTAAGAATGTGCACCCGTAAAAAATGCCAACATTCGGGGTGTGGTAACAGGCCTAGTTGGTGGTTCACGCCACACCTATTGGGATACGAGCTGCCATTCCCATATTTCATATTGGCCCAACTGTGAAAAACTCGGCGCCTCGGTGGGATTCGAACCCACGCAGTAAGGGGAGGGCTTTAGTACAGCCAACGTTCTAACCACCTGAGCTACGAGGTCCCGCCGGACGACGCGAGTTTAATCACATTTGGGCCATGTTACCCGCCCAACCTACTCTAACGTCTGGAATCCACCAAATCTGATGTGGTAAGCTGACTGCCCAGGCAGGATTTCCTAAGTAAAAATATGCCAAAACGTCTATGAATTACGTGAGCCTGGTAGTCATCTGGTGAATTCTAGGTGAATTACTTAGGAAATCCTGCTTGGGCAGTCAACTTACTGTATCCGATTTGGTGAATTCCAGACGTTGCAGTAGGTTGGGCGGGTAACATGACCCAAATGTGAATAAACTCGCGTCGCCCGGCGGGACCTCGTAGCTCAAGTGGTTAGGGAGTTGGCTGTACTAAAGCCTTCCCCTCACTGCGCGGTTTCGAATCCCACCGAGGCGCCGAGTTTTTCACAGTTGGATCAATATTGATGTTCTGATGTTCATTTTTGCCAAAGTCTGGAGGGAGGCAGGACGAAATGTCAGCACGATGTTGGTAGGTACCAGATCTCAAGTACTCAGTAGTGTGCCCCGGAGGGGACAGTGTTCTAAATGCAGTTAACGAGGTTGGTAGGATTGGGTGAGGGATGCTGCAGCTACCTGACAATTAATTTGCCATGGGGGCGTGCGTCGAAGATAGTCATCAGGTCTCTTCGAGGGTTTCCTGCGCGCTGAGGACCAGGCTGTCTATGCGTTAGGCTGTTGTCTCTGCTGTGAGCGCAATAGGCTCTGTCTGTGTGGAACTCGTGCCCTCGGTAGTGTTCGAAAGAAGTTGTTAATCTACCGGGGGCCAAATGTGGTCGAGGATGCCTCCTGTCCAAAGTTGGCATGCCGTTGTGCACGGATTAGTCTTACTTTACGGTACGTGCTAAAGTTCATGAGCAATAGTAATGTCTTCGGTGACCGGAAAAATAAAGATCATTCGAATGAAAACTTGACAATCATTTGTGCGGAACATAACTGCAGACTTATTTATACCCGACATCACGTAACACAGTGGTTAATAATCTTTCCAAATGCCAATGCAAATAATATCTGAGAAAATGCGTCAGTTGTGTGCATGTTCCTGTTTTTATGTTTTAGTAATGTATTAATTGAATCATATCTCAAAGGACACATGCAGGAAATCTTCATATTCGGTTTGTGTGAAGTGTCGCCATCTCTAAATCATGTACTTAAAAGAAGTGCGTCTCGATTTTGGCAAACTTTCTTGATCTATATGTATTTCCATGCGCATGCGACAGTGTTGTGGTGGTCGGGAATGTGTCATCTTGCTGTAAATATCCATAGACGCACACATTGCCGAAGAGGACAGTGTGATTACCGAATGTTCTGGGACAGTATACTGACGTGAGGCTTGCATGTCGGGGCACCAGGCACTGCTTCGACAGTCGCACTGCGATGAATTTACAAATGACCAACCAGGTCACATGGCCAGATGATCCTTGGCAGAATGGCACAAAATGAGAGGCGGGTTGGTCGTGTTGATAATTGCCCTGCACTGCATATATGTTATGAGGCAGATGCAGGCCTTGAAGGTAAGTTGACAACGTGGACACAATAGCAGCGGTTGAACGCTTGCGTTGTTTGTACACTACAACTGAGTCCTGCAAGTCACGATTTTGCCTTGGCAGCGGCTAATGGGTTAGCCTTCAAAAAGGTTGCTCAAGTTTTCATGGCAGTGCGCCCGGCCTGCCACTCTTAAGCGGGGTTATCTCAAGTATCCTAATTTATTTATATGTGCTTGAGGGTGCTCTTCAGGGTGTTTTTGCAATGACACCTTTGTCCGCCTTGCATGCGAGAATCCGTAACGACGACGATGACGGCGACGCCGCTGAATAGCAGCTTGGAAAGGCTGTCATCAGCCATCT